AAAACAAGCACGGGAGGAGAAGAAGAAAGAAAGAGGTTTAAAATATATGTATATCTCCTTATCTCAGATTTCAAACAATTCTTCACCTACTTACTCATGCAAATGTTAAAATTGGGTAAAAAATTACCTCCTCTCCGAGGACATTCTAGACATTTTTTCTTTCTTTTTTGCAAGTGACTGCGTGTATCTATCCTTATCGAGAATTTAGCAGTAAGTAAGATGTTATATTCCTATCAAAACCATCAACGATATGAAAAATTATCAAGTTATTTAGTCCTACAAATCATTCAGTCGTCTAAAATGATTACCAAGCTTAACAGCTAATTAGCCATCTTTGATATAATCACTGGGTGGATTTTTTTAAAGTAAAAATAACTATTCACATTAACCAAACAAACGGAAACTTTTTGTTAAGGACCAATGTTTGTGGACGTGTTCATAAATAGCCACTATAATATAATCAATGCCATATAATGCGAGCTACAGAGTTGTTGGGAAAATTGCCTCCAATCTCCGATGCCGATCAATATATTCCGCGGTAAGCCCTTTTAAAATAAAACGCTATAATTAACTTTATTAAAGTACAATGTTCCAAGCAATCTCCTTCTTTTCCTTAAGGGTGGACAAAGCCTTAATTGAATTTCCACAGTTATTTGACAAATTCAGAAACCCAACATCTGCAAAGAATGCTGTCACCAGCCAACGACAGGTTTATTGGCATCGGCAAATTAAAAAGAACTTGATTTCCTGTCTATATCTGGGTCGTTACACTAAACCTGCGAGCACAATAAAACTAATTTTTACAAAGCCCACGCCTCAGATTTGCATGAAAATTAAACGAGACTAAAATTGTCCCTTTGTTGCCGTGATTGTTCAAGGAAATGTTAAGCCTGGGAGACTGCAAAACAAATAGCTTTTGTGTAAGTCCTCTAAATAAGGCATCCAACATTTACAGTGTGTACTTTGAAATGTATACACGCGGCTATAGTTTTTATTACCAAAGGCTTCGCTGGAGTTTGATTGCTCTTAAAGTTTCGCTCTCGATCGCGGATTGGCGCATCGTTGACAGCTCACAAAGCTATTTATAATTTCGAATCTCGTTAATAGACCTGCACACGAACTGTGCAAATTAAAATGTGAAAAGGCTTTTGTTCGTTTGTGTACTGGTAGTATTTCCTAAGTTTGATGGTGTAACAAGCTTCATTTTTACCCCCCAAACGGATTGCGATTAATTTGTTAATCTCATTTGACAATGCCTGACATCGACAGGAAAAGGTGAAAATCGTCACGGCATGCTTTAAATCGGCCTGTTAACTGTGGTTTTCTAAATCTCAAGGCCAACACAAGGTGTTAGCGAAACAGTACACGATAATCCTCGAAACCTGATATATCTGTAGCGCGATTAAACTAAGCGTTTGTTTTTGATTTGTTTCTAAAAAGCTTTTGTGGGACAGAATGGGAAGGAGACAAATTGGATCCGAGGCTTTATTGTTCAATAACAGTGGAAAACGCTGAATCGATTGATATCATCATAGATACCTCAGAGCGCAACAATTGAAATTGTGATGTGGGCGATTAGTACTTTTGAACAAATTATATCGAAATTAATTCTGATTAGGGCGTGATTGTTCCACTTTGGCCTTCATTCAACCTTCATCAGCTTTCATTAACAAAAGATTAGGAAGTAATTGTCGCCGTCACTGCCAATCACAGCAGGGAAGAGTAATTGAATTTGCGAACAGTGTGTGAATAAGAGGATAGATGGAATAACATTAAGTGACTGTAGAACGCTTCATAAAGACGACAACGGCACGTCAACACGAAGACGACCTAATTCATGCGAAATGCAGTGAATGTCCTCACGAAATATCCAGTCTTGGAAAATGCAACATAGATCGTTTCGAATTGAAGACATCTTAGGGGAAGATTCTCCCAAAGAGACGACAAATAAGAAACAAAAAGAAGAAGTGCAGATGACAGTTGTTCGAAGGCCAATTTTATTGCCAAGAATTGAGCCTGTGGCTTGGAACCATCGTGTGAATAATTGCTGCAACTCTTTTTCGATCTACGGACACCGTCCTGAACCGAAGGCTTGTTCATCACCGTGGCATTATCATAAAAATGTGCACGGATATCAAGGTGAGTGAGGGATGCTATTGATTCGTGCCTGTATTCTATACTGGCCATCCTACTTTACCAAATTTAGTTTTAGATTTTAAACTTCTTCACCTTTTACACAACAGTTTTGACGAATCAATCTGGCATAATTTTATGGATTATCGAGAATCCTTTAGATTCTGAGGAGTATTAAACTGTAGAAATATCATTGTGTCACAGCTAGGGCCTAACGAAAGTAATTAGACGAAAGTAATAAAGACGTATCTGGAACCTGATTGGAGAGGGCATAAATGATATCTTTTGAAATCTTAACCTGCAAAATCCAGAAAATCTGCAACGATTTTTTGCCAAAGGTTGTAACAAATTCGCTATGAAGTGCAGGGGAAACATGAATTTGAAAAATCAACTTAAATAAATTCCAGTCATATTGTTAGATATGACAAGATGTTTGATGCAAACGTCCCTGTCTTTACGTAAAAGCCCCGATAAGCTAATTCACGTTTTGTATGTACGAGTTAAAACCAGCATGGATAGGTTTAGGTCATCAGGTAATCTCTTATTTACCTCCACGTTTGGCCCCATTTAGAACAACAACAAAAAAACGTGGCATATGTTCCATCTATGTAGATGTTTGGTTCTGGTAAATTGGTGCAAGTAAAGTGATCAGTTGATAACTACATTGTTCATCACTAATATACAAAATTTCTGTTCTCAGTCTCGGTCTTTTAGCGTAATGTCGGCTGACAAAGGGGCACGTTTTTCTTTGCTCTAACAACTTAACTTCATTATGTCTCTTTGGCTTAGATTAGGTATTAAGCAGGGTACTTGTCTTGAAAACCACTTGGTTATTTAGACGATGTTTCTGTTGACTGATTGAAAAAAATACTTTCCTTTCGGAAAAAACATTCCGAATTATTCGAAAAGGAGTCGAACCTTGAACCTTCCGATCGATAATTCTTCGGATTCCTAATAACTGAAGTGTGGGAGACTTGATAAATATTACAGACAATCAAAAAAACAATACAGATAGCCACAAGGTTTTTATACCGGCCTTATAACAAGTAGGAAGGAGACAAGCTGCATTTTAGTGTTCGCTTTCTTGGATAAACTAGCCTAAACAATCCATTTTGAGCGAGCGTTCAAAATCCTTTGCATGGAAACATTTTCTCGATTTGATAGCAAGAAAATGGCATCGTACAAGTGTCCGCTTGTTTCTTGTCGAGGAATTCTCTATACTGATGTGAACCCCTTATTCCGTAAGAGTGACTAGCTATGGCAACTAGTATGTCTTTACAGTTAAATTTCTGGATCAAACATTAAGGTCATGAGGATAAAGCCAATGATCTCCAACTAAAAAGGGCTTATGATTGTTGAACAAATTCTCCTAATCAGTACCATTGAAAATGTCTAAATAACGGTGTGGATAACACGCGTACTGATCTTAAGATGCAAGGATCAAATTTAAGTTTAAGTGATTCCTGCACAATGTCATTACATTGTCAAGGACAAGTTTCTTTGATTTAATTCTGGCATGAAGCTGGATATGAGCCTTATCCTCACTCGAAAAGCTTTCAAAAGCTGTTAATAATATGTCTATATCGATCACTAATAATTTAACTTGTTTCCGGCCCTCAAGAATCCCGGGTATTTAGGCTAAAACGATCCTCATTTCGCCTCAAGTTGGTTTTAAGGTAATTAAGTCACAAAACGCACCGTGTCTTTGGAGACTCGGGCGGTTTGAGTTTTAAGGCTAAACGTTACTTTACACGGTATCATATCTTTCCATTCAACAGACCCCTCTCATGATTTTTTCAACGCAAGAAATTTCACCATGAATGGCAAACAGCGACGACCTCGCACAGCTTTCTCTAGTCACCAGCTCCTCACACTTGAACGCCATTTCCAAGCTCAGAAATACTTGACTCGGCCGCAACGATACGAGCTCGCTACCAGTCTCATGCTAACTGAGACCCAAGTCAAGATATGGTTTCAAAATCGCAGAATGAAATGGAAAAGATGCAGCAAGAACATAAATGGGCGAAAATCGATGAAAAATAACGCAGAAGTTGTCACTAGTAGTTCGATGACATAGAAATCAGAGGATTGATTTTTCTTCTATCACAGCTGATGAACTAACGCTGTAAATATTTCATGACATTATTTTGCGTCATAGAATTGACTGTTGTTGCCAAGAAACAAAATTAAATTGCTTAAGGCTAAGGTTACTCTAAGGGATATATTACCATGAAATCATACTGATAATACCCCTGCTTATAACTGAGTCCATCCCATACCACCCACTCTCAGTTTTCGTTGTGTTATCGATATATAACAGGGAAAATTTCTCGCTTCAATAATACAAATCTGTTACTTCCGTTTCAGTTAAATTACAACAGTTATTACTTGGTTACTATGTAATGAGCTTAATCAAACCAGGTGAAAAAGTGCATGCATTATGAGCGCAAACTCAAACAGTCGGAATGAAAGACTTCTTAACTCAATGATCCGAGTTACAAAAATATGTACACAGTGAAGTAAGCTATAAATAAATAAGGGAGTAAGCTTCTAAAGAAACTGATGTGCTGTGCGGGTTGGGGAGAAGAACAAGATGATTTGGTTTTTCAACTGAGTTGATAATTTAAATTGGCCTCCGTAAAGAGTCAGTCTCTAAAGCTGATGTTTCGAGCATTAGTCTTTCGTCGAACGTTCAGAGGGAGGGCTAACGACGCTCGAAATGTCACCTTTGAAAACCCCTTACAGTGGACCAATATAAATTATCAACTGAGTTGATAAAGGCAAATTGTCTTTAAGTAGGGTATAGTCAAGTAGCCCTGACTTAAAATCGTTTTTTGTTTTTCGCGACACAATGAGCATGACTAAACTTAAAATTACAGTTCTCGTTTATTTAACGTCTTGCTTAGACTGAGATACAGGTAAAAACTTATCAAACAAACAATGAGATAAAAAAAAGCAATAGAAATGAAATTTTAAAAAAATTGTGACTGAAAATTTTCCACAGTGCTTATGTTGTCTGTGGTGTTTTTTATTGATCTGATGTTCGTTTTAATTGCCCCGCTCAAGCACCAGCCTATGGGCGATACCTTTCGGGTCCAGGCTAATTGAAGCAATTGTAATAAAGAAATCTGTTGCTGTTGGGTCCACGAAATCGTGTAAAAATGTTTTCAGTCGAATTTCAAACACCTAAAACGGGTTCTCTTTGCTTACGCAAGCTTAACAATTAAGAAAAACAGGAATGACAAATGTTATAGGTATGAGTATCTTTAAATACATAACTTTCCTTATGTCATATATTCTTGCCAATCATTTATGTACTGGACTTACAAGGCACTGTACATTACTGCAGGATTTTTTTAAACGGGCGAACACACAAGTTTCTGAAATATTTTCATAAATTGTCTTTTTTAGGTGTCAGCACAAACTTTCTTTCTCTCCCATAAATCACGTACCTTGAGGTGCGGTTCACTTGACATCTATTGCGACACTGTAACTAGTTACACGTCACAACCGCGTGAGATGGCATCGCAATCCAGGATTTTGTCTCCTGGCGTGCGGGGTGTGATGCACCTTTCTTCCGAATTAAAAAAATAAGCTAATTTTTCTCAAAGGCTTGCATGTGGCTTTTCCACTTTTTGTGAATCTTGCTCAACTGTCACACCACTGAAGAAACCAGAAGAGTATCGCAAACTCTTCTTACGCTGTGAAATCGACTCTCGGTCGGACTTTCCGAATTCTTCTTCGAGTCTTCGGCGGGAACGACGTGACTTACGTCGCGAGGAGTCCAGGGCTGTGTCCCTTGAACCGTAGAAGTGATCTTCTTCGAATGGAGACTTTCTCTGTAACAAATAAGATTTGAAAGATTGTACAAAGATAAAAAGGTATTGTAACTGAATATCAGGGCCTGGTATAGGAATCAATACCCAAATTTAATGTATGTAGCATGCAGTGTATCTTACATGAGCCATGGCTTATGTAAGACGAAGGTCTTGGGAAAGTCCCGAATAAGCCGTAGTCAAGGAATCATTCGTGTATAGAGGTTTATTTACGGATAAAATCGACAAACTCAAACTTCATGGCGGCACAATAAGTATTTTAACATTTTTGTAAATAGAATAAGAAAGATGATGTGTTTTCGGCTCTGTAAAGAAATAGAGAAAGATGTTTTTCGTCTTGTCATGGAACTCAGAATTTTTTCGTCGTCCCACGCTCGTGACAAGACGAAAACATCTTTCCCTATTTTACCACTTGTTAGTAAAGCATGGCTTTCCTTCTCGCGGCGAATCGTAATTTTGGTTGAATGGATACAGTCTATCAGCAGTGGTATCACGTCAAATACTCTATTTTCTAACTGCATACAACTACCTTGTTGTCGAAAGGTCTCTGACGCTCTCCAATCTTGTACGGTGGTGGTGATTCCGGTGATTCTGGTTGATGGTACCCAGAATGCATAAGGGGCTGTCTCTCAGGGATCTGTTGTAGCCTAGAGTGACTCGACAACAAATTGTCGGCACTCTTACGCATGCTCGTCTTGGAATATCTTCGTTCTCCCATAGCCATTTCCGGTTCCTCGGCTCCGTCCGGACGCCGATCGCGATCGCTGGTAGATTCAGAAGCGACCAATGAATAATACGATGAACTTCCTTTCTGGTTCGGAAACGATTGTAGTTGAATTACATCACCTCCAGGAGAGTCTGGGATCGGTAGACCTTCGATTTTCCTAAAAAAAACAACTTGCTGACAAATGCTTGGTATCACCGAAACTTTAAATTAACAGTGGCAAGGTTGGTATGCTTACTTCGTATGAGTTACACATCGTGTTTTTGGTAGATAATAGGTAAAATCCTTTGGAAAAGCATGACCGCCATAACGTATGCGCAATTCAGAATATAGTTTTTGCTAGAGCACGTCTGCAATTTTACTTGGCTCAAGTTCTGAGCTGCTGAGAATAACGCTGAACACAAGAAAGTAACTGTACGTTCATGGCAAACCTTCAAATAAGACTTTCGCCGTAATTTTTAAATCACAAATCACAAATCACTTGTTCTGTTCCTACCTTTTAATCGCGGAGTCCATTGGGGCGGGGGTGTCCATAATTGGGGGTGGGTATTCTTCTTTATCGTAAAAGACCCCGGATGTGGTGGAGCCAATACGGGAAAGTCTCTTGGACGAGCCCGGAAGATCCGTGTTGGACTCTTTAATAGAAGGCCTGGTCACTTTGTATTTACCGTCCACTGCATTCGCACCGTAATACTGGAAAAAACAAACCAGAAAATTTACAAATCTTGGTTTGACGTGGTCTTTACTCCTCTTGACAACGATATTCGTCATTACAGTGGTCAAAATGTTGTGAACCCAGGAGACGCAGCCGAGTGATTCTATAACAAGCTACAAAAAATTTACAATGTCCATTTAAGAAACGAACCAGGAGTATGGTATGGTGTCATCCTCTTGGTTGGGATACAACCTGATAACAAGAAAACCCTGTAACTGCACTCTATTGCTGCGCCTATTCAATCGTAGCCGACAAGCGGAGATACAACACTTCTGGCCAAGGCAGCCAGATATATCTATCAAAACCAGACACATAAATCAAGCGATCAAACGCATCAAACCTGAACTGTGTCTGTGGTACTGTAATAATTCCGTTTTTCCTTGCTCTGCATTCTTTTAATCTGATAGTGGAACGTAAAGTTCTTGACCTAAATGCACAAAAAAGACGACATAACGAGAGCTATTGTAGGTCCCAAAAGTCAAACCAGGGCCCTATAAGGCTTTAAAGGACCAGGGAAGGTCGGAGGATTTTTTTGTGTCACAATAAAATTAACCTGATCCTCCCATAAGGTTCTTTAGTATTCTAATGTTCCCCC